AGTTACTACTGCTTTCAAAATTTTCACTGTTTAAAGGACCTCAGCATTTCTGATCGTTGTGGGATCTGGAGATTTCTAGATTTGCTAGCGTTTTTGTAAGGAGTATCTTTTTCATTGGTTTTTTGAAAAATAGATTTCTGTTGGATGTTAGAGTCGTTCATAGTTTTGGGATTTTTTGGAATCCCCAGTTTGTGTTATTCGGATCTCTAGTTCGAATTTTTTTTTGGTTTTACTTCTCGATAATTTTATAATTAGTTGTAGGTTTTCTGCCCACTTGAGAATGTGTGCTTTAGTGAAGTTTCTTTAGAATTTTAGCCTGTTTAGAGATTTCAGAAATCTTATGCATTTCTTGGTTTTCCTAGGTTATTCCATTTTTGAAGATGTGTGGAGTTCTAGGAAGACTGGTGGGATTTTCTCAAATTTTGGAAATGTGGAAGGGATTGGGAGAGAGTTTATAATCGTGGTTGATTCCAGGAAGTAAATCTGTAGAACTTGGGGTGGGGACATTCCACGGTTCCTGACATTTTGGAGTTTTTGGGAAATTATGCTTTCATGGCTTTCCTATTTTTAAGAATTATCGCTTTTCCTTTTAAGGTTAGGACTGTTGAGCGTGTTACGATGTATCATGGTTCTTGGAATCTCTATTAGTGTTCTGAGCTGTGTATATTTGAGATTTTTGTGCTTTCAAAAGTTTCCAGGAATTTTATAAAGGATTTATGGTTACGTTTAAGATATACCAATATTTTAAAGAACTTTTAGGAGCTTTTCACGTTTTACTTTGAAAATTATATTTCTTTTATTTTTAGGATTTCTTAGCTTTTCTCAGGTTTTTTGCTGTTTTATCTGGCAGTTTTTAGGTCAATGCTTCATAGTTTCTATTTTCACTTTGGAAATTTATAAGTAGTTGATTTGCATTCTTTGCATATTTTTTCCATTAGTGAACTTTCCTCGTAAATTCGACATGAGCTGAGGAATACAAAATATTTCCTGACTAAACTAGTTCGCGCGTATCGTCTTTCAAGGCAGTGCTTATTCGAGCTCTACCGTGCGAACTTTGCGGAGCAAATTTGATCAAATCTCAGGATGATTTAGAGATTATTAAACAAGGGATGAACTTTCCTGAAAGAAGCGAGGAAGAATCTAATGTAGAGATTATATTTTTATTAGGCATATTTTTTGCCTTGCCAACATGCCAAAAAAAAGCTTGTATGTTTATCGCTCGTGAGATTGGACCCCGTTTTCATAGCAGAGTAGCATCGTGGCGACAATGTAGATGTTGGATTTCTGCTTCGAATGACCTTGCTACTATTCCTATAGACGCACAGAGAGCAATTTGGGCCAAAGATTGGGACGAATTGAGTGGTCACTACTCGCGATGTGTCGCAGACACCTCTTTCTCATCCATGGGGTCTTAAGGCATGGAAATGATATACGCTTTTACATGAAATATGCAGTTGAATTTGTATTCGCAGCACATTTTTGGGGGTCGTTGTTTTTTAGGTATCCTTTGTATGCACTAAGAGGACATACTATAAATGATTACTTTTCTGCTTGCACTTTGTCCACCGACAACAGGATTTGAAGCTGCATCGCACTCCTGCAAACCAAGATATGTACCACTGCGTCACCCTAGCACTTAGCATGGTCACACAAGTACCCGTTATTGAAGGTGGCCGCATGG